TAATTTCTAAATTATATATAGCTTTAACAGTACAATATATCTATAAAAAATTAAGACCCATGATATTTGACCACGTGCAACACACCGTGCATCTTACCTAGTGTGTGTATAAAGAAAAAATTATACTTCACAAGTGGACATGAGATATATACCTGAGAAAATACTTACCCATTTAATTAGGAACAAAAAGCATTTCTTACCCATTTAATTAGGAACAAAAAGCATTTCTTTACTCACTCAAATGTTGTAAACATCACTCAAGCACTTTCTGAAATTGTTTCTTCTCAATTTCTTTTAGACTAAGGGTTAGACACTGATCTCACACATTTTTGAGCAAATTTTGTATGTTGCCTCCATTCCTAGTCCATCTGCAACCCTACGAAAAAGCAAAGATGTGTGACCTAGGTATCCACATAGGTTCACATTGGTTAGTAATTATACTTTTATATATCAAGATCTGTTTAGCTATCTTATCTCTATATTGCATTCGATAATTCACTGAAATATGATCTATTCTTCCACATAAAGTACAGAGCATAGAAAACGAATAGAAATGGGTGCAAATAGAGATAATTGTTTCTTTTTACAAAAGAGGGTTGAAACTTTTACTTTTTTTCTAAATATGAATAACCAAGTCCAATTTTAGCTTTAGCAAGCCGTTGATTGGAAATGACCATGTTCAAACCTTTTGAACCAAGTAAGAACTTCTCCACAACCTTTTCCAAATTAATATATATTAGACTTTAATTTTTTTTAGAAGCCTTTTCCAAATTAATATTTTTAGACTTTAATTTTTAACTTTTAGAAACTACAGTATAGCATATAAAATTTCTTTGTTCTGAAGACAATTCATATATCTTAGCAACTAATTTCTCATTTTAGTTATTTTTCTAGTCATTTGCTCAAATAAATTGGAGTTCATATCCGAGCATTATATGCATTTAAAAGATGTGGTCTTACTTGATGAGTTCGACGAATTCAATTTTGAGTCAATTTTACAACTCAAAGATTTTTAGCTAAATGGCACTTAGATACCCTATCGTTTAACTACCTTTACATTTAAATACCCTAAATAATAAAAAATAGTGGTTTAATACCCTAAGTTGCAAAAGATTGGTATTTTTTGACAACTAACAAAAGATATTAAAGTGTTACTTTATTACAACTTAGGACACTAAAATACTACAACTATGTATATTAAAGTGATCCTTTTTACAATTTAGAATATTTAAAATGTGAAGGTAGTGAAACAATAAGGTAATTAAGTGCCCATTTATTTACAATTGAGAGTACTAAACTGCTTTTTTTTTTTACAACGTAGAGTATCACAGTGCTACTTTTACAACATATGGTATTTTAATATAAATGTGGTGAAATAATAGGGTATTTAAGTGCAATTTAGCCATGATTTTTTTTTATTTCTCCTTAAATTTGAATTTATTCTTTTTCAGCAATTTTTTCCAGATGGCTCAAATTTCATTATACTTGGAATATAACTGATCGTATGAAGGATATACCTCACCATTTGAACTCTCGTTCTCAGATCATGTGTCTTTCCCTATCTGAATCGGAAGTTAGTGTTGCCTTCTTATCATCATCACTTTGAGCTACTTTGTGCTTCTTCATCTTCACTCATCATGTCTCATATTGTCACCTTTAAACTCTTGCTCCCAGCATTTTTTTTTTTGTTTAGTGGGTATTTATTATTGTAGTGACCTGTTTTCTACACTAATAATAAACAGGCTTAGTTTTAAAATAACTGGAAGAATACTTATTTACATTACTCGTGAATTGATTTCGTCTATTCTGTAGGTAATTCTGACCTGAGAAAAGATTTGAACGCTTTAAAAATTAGGCTCCTTTCATCCTCGGAGGTTCAATTTGATTCCTTCTTTTTTTAAACTTAAGTTTCTACTTTTTCACTTTCATAAATAACTACTTGCTCCTAGAGCTATCTTATGAATCATCTTCTCTTTTTTTTTAAGTGCACTTCATGTGTGAGAAAATTCTCTACAAGATTCTCAAGTGTGAGGTCAAAAATTTTTTGCAATCCTTCAATAGGCATAACATTTGGTTCCCTATCCTTGGAAAGTGAATGAAGGGTTTTTTTTAACAAGCTCTTTGTTCTCTTATTATTTTCCTGGGGCCTTTGATTTAATCATGTGAACATGTCTTGGACGCTCTCTTAAGACTTCATTTTGAAGTTTTCGTACTTGCTAACAAGCATAATAAGTTTTGCCTCCTTCACCTGCGATGTCCATTCATGTATGACATCTAGATTTTTCCAAATTACCTGCACAATAGAAAAAGTTTGTACACTATTAAATTTCTTACGCAATAAAGAGCATTCATAGCCTTTGCAGTTAAAGAGTAAAGTTTTTTGTCACCCGGGGTCCATTTATCTCTAGGTGTGACGGTGATGGTCTCACTAATAACAGTAGTGGACTCGGTCTAAACAATATCACAGACCTTAAAATCAGTAGACAATAAGAAGATTCCATGCTCTCTTTCCAATATGTGTAGTTTGACCCATCGAAAAGCGGGGGTCTGTTGACTGCGTGTCCCCTAGAGAAAGCTGTTGCAGCAGTTAGACTCAACATCTCTACTTTAGGTTGTGATGCCTAAAAATGAATATACTCTGATTACACTTGTTGGATTTGAGATGCAAGCCTAGAGGGGGATGAATAGAATTGCCTACCATTTTCCATGTAAACATAGAATATGCAGCGGAAAAGAATAAATTACAGGGGTAAACAATAATTGGAAATAATACAAATATCAAAACCAACCAACCAAACACACCCAAAA